TGATCGCACCGGCTTCCTCGATGCGCGCTACTATTTATCTTGAAATTTGATGCTGTTTTTGGGTTTGTATTCAATTTGTCCGTATTTTACAGGATTTAGCAGCACGAAACGTGCTTGTGGATTCAAATTTGCAATGCAAAATAGCGGATTTTGGACTGAGTCGAGGATTGGAAGGTTCCGTTGAGCAGGAATATACAACAAATGGCGGGAAAATACCGGTTCGATGGACAGCGCCGGAGGCAATAACACATCGGAAATTCACAGCTGCATCGGATGTCTGGAGTTTTGGTGTGGTAATGTGGGAAGTAAGTAGTTCATGTCTCGGGATCGAAAACAGATTTATACTTATACTTTCACCGTAGATTGCTACGATCACTGTGCTTCTGCCGGACTACCACCGGCCGCTAAAACCACTTGAAAAGCCGGCAAAGGATGTGTGTATGTGTGCACGCACACACAGATGAGCATACAGTGTTATATATATATACACATACATATATGTATATATATATATATGTACATGTATATACATATATATGTACATACATGTTATATACATATATATACATATATATATGTATATATATACATGTATATATATATGTATATATATATGGGCTCCAGATTATTTGTGGAGCATAAGGACTGGGTGATGAAATGGTAAAAATCACTGGTACCACACAGCAAAAATATTTTCAGATCTGTTCGTTCGGTGAACGACCGTACTGGGATTGGACGAACCAGAAAGTGATCAGCGAAATAACACTGGGATATCGTTTACCAGCACCAATGGATACACCAGATTCGTTACATACCCTCATGCTACAGTGTTGGCACATTGAACGCCATAAAAGGCCAACTTTCGGGCAGATCCTGGAAATTCTGGAAGAGTATGTTCGGCATCCAGCACTGATCTGCGGCAGTGGCATAGGCTTAGCCGAGTGCGTTAATGCTTCTTCTGTCTAGCTTTTTTTTTTTTCGTTTTGGAAAAATTCTGTGTTGGTAGCGACTCGTTGGTTTTTTTTGTGGGAGAAGAAAAGCACCAAAAAACCTATTTCCTCATATCGTGGCACGTACAAATTTCTGTGCATCGGCGGTTGAGTCGAATTTTTCAGGGAGAGATGTACAAATTTCTGTGTTGCAAGAATATTTGGTTTTGCCCAGGTGGGTGGGTTTAGTAGCCCGAATTATGGGATACAGCTGTGCCGGAAGAACCATGGGACTGGTGACTCATTTAGGAACACTAGGATTGCCAGCAGGCCAACCATCAGATAATTATAGAATAGGTCAAGGCAACTGGGGAAGTCGTCATTTGCATAGCTGAAGTACCAGAACATGAATTAACAAGTATCTTACGTGTAAATCCAGAAATTTCGAGAGTTCCAAATTTTTACGCTCTGCGAATCATTCTAGAAAATTATCGGAACGGTTTTAATAGCAAATATTTATTTTGCAGCGGTGTTGGATATGCGACAACATTTGGGACACTTCCTCGATCTATCGATCCCGGGACACCGACCGTATCCTCTACTCCCCAGCTACCACTAGATGAATTCCTGAAACGAATTGGTCTGGGACATTGTACAGTGAAGCTAAATATAGCCGGTGTTAACAAAGTTCCGGATTTACTGCGTCTTGGGCACGTTGATTTGCTCAGTTATGGGTTGATTGCCGAAGAGGCACAAAGGATAC